GTGCGATGCCATTGGAACCTTCGGCTCCTCGACAAGCAGGCTATGTCGGACGATGCTCCCAGTGACAGGCCACATCCGTATGGGAGCTGGGTGCACTACTGGCAGCAGGTGGAGGAGGAGGTGCCCACCGACCAGCAGCTTGTGGCAGACCGAGGAGCCCGTGTGACGGTCACGAAGGAGGAGTTGACGCAGGCGAGAGAGAGGATGCTCGTCGTGTCCCGCATGGGAGCCACTCGTCGCTTGCGGGAGTCTGAAAGGAGGAGGTGTCGTGGCGGCGGTCGCGGAGGTGGTCGTCGGGGCGGTCGCGGGCGAGGCGGGCGTAGAGGTCCTGGCGGGAGGCGTAGTGTCGCGAGTCGTGGAAGGGCAGTGGACGAGCTAGTACGCAAGCCTCGACAGCGATGGGATGAGGGAGACTTTTTGTACGAGAGCTCGTCCAGCGATGACGAGGATTTCTTTGGGACTGGCAGGCCTGCACAGGATGGCGACAGCGATTTCGACGACCGTCACCCGAACGTGGGCGACGACGATGGCGCCAGTGGAGATGATCACGGTGACGGAGGAGATAGGCCACGACCTGCACATGGTGACACGATGCGCGCCGACRGGGCAGGGGGCGAGCACCGCACAGCAGTAGATGACGCTCGAGATGGAGTGCATGATGATGGTTCACGACCTGTCTCGGGCGGTGACCTGAGGCGCTTGAAACGCGGACCAAGGGAAAAAGACACTATCGCTTCACATGTGCGCAAACGTCATGGTGGGGTTGCTAGCATTCCACTATCACGAGTCCCCGCAACTGGGCAGATTCCAGTTTCTGAGGACTCTTTCAACGATCACGGCGGCGAGGAGCGGATCGAGCTGCATAGCGGGAGCGGTCATCCACGAGGTGACACTTCGAGTATGCACGCGACAACTCCGATGGGGCCTTCCGCAGCAGTCCCAGAATCGCAACAAGGTCCAGCACCGTTGATGCGTCATCCGGAGGTTCAGGGAGAGATCCATCCTCTCCTTGCAGTGCGGGACGAGGGTTCTGTCGGTGCACTGCATCCACTCACGTCTGCAGGAGCAGCAGTCTCAGTTGCAGCGACTTTGGATGTGGGATAACCACTGGCAGCGGCGGAGCAAGAAAGTATGCTCCCACCTCGCAGTGTTCAACCGCGGCCACCGCCTGCATTGATGGAGGGGAGTCAGGGGACCGTTGTTGTGTGTCAAGGCGACGATCTCCCGGAACGTGATATCTCACACACTCCCGCAGCCGAGCAGAGCGCCGCAGACCATGTCGGCCTCGCATGCCCCACTGGCAATCTTCCGGGTACCGACGAGTTACTGACCATGGACTCTGCGCTCGTTTTTCAACCGGACTTGTCGACGTTGATATCCCCAGATCTTCCCCATGTGTCACCGCCCAAGCCACAACAGCCTGTTGTCATGGAGCGTGAATCGGACGGGTTTGACGTGGCAGGAGGCGATATCGCCGATATGATTACGAGCCCAATGGTGTCTGTCACGCCCATAATTTTTCGTGTTGGCAAACTACGCGAGGTGGCCCTTGGTTTGGCGGAGACGGCGACGCGACACCGCCGCGACGGTCAGCGCAGCATCGCACGACGCAGTCTTTCTCATTCGTTTGACGGCGCAGAGGAAGGGTCTCCTGGTGGGCCAGTTGACACACTCGAAAGAGAAGCAAGACCCCCAAGTCCGCCGTCMAACTTAGAGCATCATCCGATTGCCGCGGCTGTCGGCGCAGATGCGGGCGTCCCCGCCACAAACAGTGGCGCGGATGCGACAAAACAGCTTGTGGTTGGGTCATCGGCGACAGCACGGCGCGACAAAGCCACTATTTTGCCGACAGTGGCATTCTATGCCAGCGGGAAGAGTACTGGGGGGATGGATGAGCAGGGAGTCCGGAATGTTGGCAGGCCATCTGCACCGTCTATGGGGAAACGATCCATTGGGAGTGTGGATGGTGCTCGGCACACCGCCATGGCCGAGTTTGAGGACCGACACGGGAGTGCTTTGGCGACGAAGACGTCTGATGTCCATGCTACGAGAGCCGCAAAGGCGAGTCTTTCTCAGGCAAGGAAGAAGGCCTCGACAAGGAAGGCGTCACGTTCATCCTCACATATGCGTTCCCGAGAGAGAGGATCGGGCGTTGTGCATCTCGAGGATGGAGAGATTGCACCTGACGGCGACGCATTGGATGTTGGAGGGAGGGATGCAACGACGGCGGATATCGTCGGCAGGGAGGGCACAGGGAATGCAGTGGCAGGTCAGAAGAGACGCGGCAGTGTACTTATCGTCCACGACGACAGCACAGATGTCGCCCCGGGAGAGACCACAGGCACTGATGATGCAGGGGACTCCGATTACGTACCCAAACCACGGGCGGCAGATGGAGATGATGGAGGAGGGCGACGAGTGAGACTGAGGACACGACTCGGGCCGCAAGGGCAGCGAGCACAGGGCACACCATAGGCGATGATTCCTGCCCCCATAGATCGGCGAGCTCAGGCGCAGCGGTTGCTGCGCAAAATGGAGGCCACTCTTTAACAGACGCACGGGTTATCGCTTGGCCGCGAAGAGACGGAAACTCAGAGAAAGGGAGAGAGGGAGGGAGAGAGAGAGAGA